CACACACACACACACACCCCAACAGTCAGTGTTGTAAAACACTGACTGTTCCCACTTTCACACTGAAAATTACCATTTAAAAAAAGTGCAGCCTATAAAACTGACCTCCTCCTGCCTGGAAGTTTGGTAGTGAAGGAATGAGGATTTGGTGCAGGAACAAGGGATTGCTGTTCATTTTGATGGTACCTGACAACAAACCACCAAAGTAGTAGATGTATCTGTCAAAGATAGGTGAAGAAATGGTGTGATGACACAGTGACTGAGGTGATAACTGTAACACAACAAGAAAAGATTAATGGCGGGCGGAGGAAATGGATGATATGCAGGGGACTGACACCTCTTCTGAGAGGGCTGCAGGGAAGAGGAGACTTTATCTTCACAGAACTTCCTCATGGCCAGTGTGGTGAGGGCCTGGTCGGCTCTGTGAACACGGGCAGAAGTGTATTAGTTTTGAGCTTGATGTTGATGAGGTGTATGCTAAGAGGAAGTCATGAAATCTGTTGGTGGCTTTATCTACAGATTTAAACAAATCCACAAAGATTGTTTTAGTGGCTTTTTTGGACATAAAGCAAGGGCTCATTTGTACAAACAGTAGATCCTTACATATGCTGGCATATTGAGGCTAAGAGCAGACTAATAATCAAAATGCAGATTACCCTGCTGATATCTTGCTGTAGTGCATATAGGCTGCCACAATGACCCCTGTCTTTCCTTTGTTCCCCTGTCAAAACAAAAATCAAAGGGATTATCGAATCAGTTTTACTGGTGTTATAACTTTTTAACCGCTAAGGAATCAGATGAGTATTCAGACTACACTGACTTTGCAGTGGAGGACCACTACATTGTTTGGGTCAGAAGTTAGCCACGTCTCCATGGCCTTACAAACAGCACAGATCCTGTCCAGGGGTGGAGCATGAAGATCGGGCCAGGCGTAGTCCTGCACCTGCATCGCAGAGGAAGATATTTCAAATACTAGTGGTTTTATGCTTTGTAAAGTATTTTCATTAAGCCTAAATATACAGTGTATAAATGTACCTACAGTATATCACATACATTGCTCATGCACTTCGGTCTTAGTAGCCTGAGTTATGTGTCAGATGTGAGTGCCTGTACCTTTGGGTAGAGTCTGGTGATGTCATGTCTCTTCTCTGATAAATTTAGAAGCTGGGGGAAGGCAGAAGACATTTAAAAATCCAAAATGCCATTGCTTGAATCTAATATTAAACATTGTTATGCCTGTTTTGAATTTTATATTTTATGTTTCTTATTGTTTCAGCCTTTCACACTGACCAGAAACTTATCTTGGTGCTTGGATTTCAGCATGGAGGCCACTTCCTGTAGGTTTCTGCGGTACTGCTGCTCCTCCAGGTCCGGCAGGAAGAAGACTGAGATGATCCGCTCTGTGATGTAGGTGAGGTCAAAGTCGTAGTGGCGCTCCATCACGTGCTCCATCACCTGTTCCACGCTTTTACTTCTGGACATTGTGAAAATCCATTCTTTTAGTTCAGGCAGAGCAATAATTAATGTCCTCACTGTAGATTTTGCTGTTGTCTGTGTCTGTCTGTTATAAATGCACAAAAATGTCTTTTTTCTTTGGTTTGAATGTGTTTGTGTTTTTGATCATGCTTTGCAGTACCTTGGTATGGAGCCTCTCTTTTTCTGCAAAGTTGATTTAGTGGAAGTGTGCTGCGAGACAAGCAGAAAAAGATCTCGGTGCTGCACTCACATCATCATAAAAATTTCTCTGTGACAAAAAACATGTGACCCCCCCCCCAGAGCCTACCACTTCTGGTGTTGAGGTGCAGCTGGGAGTCACCTGAAAGGAAAGAAAGCACGTGGTTGTTTCTTTGCAGCTTTAACAGACCCACACATATACATTGGGAGGAAGCAGCTCATGCCAAGTCATGTGTTTGGTTTAATGCTTTTGGTGCAGCTCCAGTAGTACAGACGAGGAGATGGAACGCTGTGGAATGAGGAGAGCTGATGAAGAGGATAGTAAAATTCACTCTCGCTCTCCTCCGTCTCAGAGCAGCTGGATTCAGGAAGAAGCTGTCGGTCAACAGATGCAGCTGTTCCTTATGATGGACTAGTGATGGATGACACACGTAGAATGATCTATACACTCAGTGGTGCGCACAAGCGTAGATGTTTAGAAACAAACTTCAACAGCTGCTCGTGTGTACATGTGTGTAAACAATTGTAAAAAAACAAAAACAACAAAAAGCCTGAGGCCAAAGAGCGTTCTTTCAATTCTTAGTCATTGCTAAATGGTGTTTATTGTGCTGACCAGGCAGCTGAATAAGCTGCTCAGGCTATTAAGAAGTGCTCAATAAAAATGATTGATTTCACTTTTTCATTCTTTTGGCCTCTTTAGAAAGAAACACTGATAGATAGACTTGAGGGGGACTCAACATGTGGCATCCAGTCCTTGTAGTGATGAGCCAAAGGTAAGTTGCCAAAACTACAAACACACGTATACAGATGGAGAGAGACAGAGGGAAGCCGAGGTCATTTGAACAGAAGACAGCCACTGCTATGACAGTAAACTTGAACAGGTTCCTGTAGCTTCCTCTGTTCTTGATTATTTGATACTTTTCGGACTCATCTGGAGGTTCTCGTAAAATGTAAAAATGTATAATGCGGCTGAAATGATAGAAAGTAAGAGGGTAAAGAAAAATGGAAAGAAACGCATGGATAGAAACGAAAAACATTCAGTAATCCAGTGCAACTAAGGGCCCCAGTAGTGCGCTTTGACAGGTGACACCATGTCAGGTTTCAACCTTTGAACTTTCCCACAAGATTGAGCCGCCCTCCGTGGCTGTGTTGGCAAGTGCTGACAGGCCTAACTAGTCAAATGCCAATCACAGTGAAACACAGTGAAAGGAAAACAGGAAAATCTGCGACCATGCAGGATTACATTCACTAGCTCTGTGGTGACATAACAATACATTAAGACTGTGGCTGCTTTGAACACTGTCTTTAGTAACCATCTGCTGTCCAAGGTCATTATCAAAATCAGTCTGCAGACCCAATGGCCAGTTGACTGGTTAGCATCTGGCAAACTTTTATTTCCATGGCCTGCGTTGTAGCCAGCAGACAAATTTCTTTTTCCAACAAGGAATCAGTGTGTTTATGAATGCAGATCATTTTTATGCAGATTATTTTTGGATAGGCAAAGGTTTCAGGGTTGCATTTAAGCTATGCAATCCATCTCTCCGTGCAAAATTTTATTCCTGCATGCAACCAGAGCCTGCTCTTCATGATAGATCAAACTAAGTACACAAAACCAGAAATTTTCTTGTAAGAAAAACCTCATCCTTTACCAAAAGGTTCTATGTCTTTATACGCAGCATCTGTCAAAGTAAGCCACTAGTACAAGCTGTGTTTCTTATTGAGTACTTAGTAATAGAGGGCTTGGTTAGCATTAGCCTGTCTCTTCAGGCTCACTAATGTGTTTGTTGTTTTCATGTTCAGTGCGTGTATCCTTATAGCTGTGTGTGTTAGCTCAGCTTGGTTTTAAATAGACACAATAAATGTTATGTAAAATGCAGCACTGTGATGTGACGATCACCAAATTAAGAGCTGAAGCAGCTGCATCACGATTGCTATTCAGCTTCTTAAAAAGAGACTTTATTACACACTGGTGCGCCAAAACATTATGACCACCACTCATATGTTGTTGGCTCTTTGCATGCTACAAATAACAAAGAACATATTAAGCCACTGAAGTTCTCTGAAGGTGTCTATGGTATCAAAAACTAGACATCAGCAGCAGCAGATCGTCTGAGCGCTGTATCTTGTTGGCGAGGAGAGGTCGTCAGTCTGACTTATTCCTACTGCTACACTATTGTCAGTGAGTTTTCTGAGAAGTAGAACACAATTTATTTTAAGTCACTTTAAAAGAGCTTTGAAACCAGGAAAATTGGATTAGTTTAGTGTTTTGGCAAGAGGACAGTCGAATTGAAATTTCTACCCAAAATAAAACCTTCAAATTTTACAATACACAAAAAGCAGATTACAAGCAACGTTGCAGTGGTGACAAGTATTACACGCAGAAGGTTTAGGCCTGTGTGACCGGAAAAAAGGGAGACATAAATGAGCATGCAACCTAGGGAGGAATGAGTAAAAAGGGGAGTGAATGGGAAAGGGCACAATTGCTGCTTCATAAATTAGCTCCTGCTGAAATTATAAGAAGGTCGTGTTATGTAACATCGTGTACCTCCTATAAAGACAGACAACCAGCATAACAACACTTATTTATTCAGCATAAACGTGGGACGCTTTAGAGTCACTGAGTCCATGAGGTAGTTATAAAACTTATAATAGGAAATGAAAGAACGCAAAGATTCAGCCATAGGGGATAACTCTTTTCTTAACAGGTTTAATAAAGGTTGTTACTGGATTAAGTAGTCAGTTCCTGGAAGGAACAGTGGGAGACAGACATAACACATGCATGTGTACCCATGTATAAACATGAACATGCACACACGCACACAAAGAAGACCAGGGTTTGAACCCAGAGGCATAGAACATAGAAATACAGCAGGAGAAAGACATCAGAGTCAACAGGAAGCAATTTGCAACAGGATGTCAGCGCTGCTCGGCCTAGGTTCACACGTAACGCACACACAAATTACACGCAGAGCATACACGTGTCTTTGGTAGCTCTGCCAGCCTCAGGGTCTTCATTAATGCATGTGGACTGTAAGCTGGAGCCACTGGGAAAGGAGCCATCTGGTTCAGTTTGTCTCGTTGATCAGTCAGCAATTACTGAGGTGCCAGTGACAGCACTCGACCCCCCTACACCACCCCCCGCTTCAGGGGACTCGACGACTGTTACTGAACTCATTAGCCGATCGATTTATCAGGTGAAACGTCATTTTTTTGTCAATGAGAAATGGTAAACATCCATCCATTTAGTTTCTTTGGTTTATCTTGGTAAAAAGAAATGGTAGCGCTGAGCAAAGGAAGCAAGTGATAACAAAAAGATGGGCTTTTTGAGATGTTTGCTTCCTTGCTGGCAGCTAGATGCCAATATCGATGCCACTCTCGTGTGCATATAAAATAGGACGCTACAGCTGATAGCTGTCTCACAAGAAAGAGTAAAAATGAGGAAGCACCAAAACAGCTCCGACAGCTCCTGCTGTCTGCTTCCAGTCTGAATCCATCTCAAACAGACAGACGTGTGATAACTCTTGGCAAGAAAGCAAATATTTCCCCCAAAATTATCTTTGAAAAGCTCTTTAATGTTTTCTTTCACAGTGTAGCTTAACAATAAATAAATAAATAAATCCTTGACTTTTAATCACTGTTTAGATCCACACTCTTTCCCAGATGAATGTGCCTGTTCCCATCTGCCGGTGGATCACTGACTTCCTGACCGACAGGAAGCAACATGTGAGGCTGGGAAAGAATGTCTCGGACTCCCGGACCATCAGCACCGGCTCCCCTCACGGCTGTGTTCTCTCTCCTCTGCTCTTCTCCCTGTACACTAACTGCTGCACCTCCACCCACCAGTCTGTCAAGCTAATCAAGTTTGCAGATGACACCACCGTTATTGGACTCATCTCGGACGGGGATGAGTCTGCCTACAGGAGGGAGGTTGAACGTCTGGTGTCCTGGTGCAGCCACAACAACCTGGTGCTGAATGCCCAGAAGACAGTGGAGATTGTTGTGGACTTCAGGAAGCACACAGCCCCACTCCCCCCCATCATCCTGACTGACACCCTCATCACCTCTGTGGGCTCATTCCGCTTCCTGGGTACCACCATCACCCAGGACCTGAAGTGGGAGCCCACCATCACCTCCGTCATAAAGAAAGCCCAGCAGAGGATGTACTTCCTGAGGCAGCTGAAGAAATTCAACCTGCCAACACGGACGATGATGCAATTCTACACCGCAATCATCGAGTCCATCCTCACCTCCTCCATCACCGTGTGGTACGCTGGAGCCACTATCAGGGACTGCAGCGTGTTGTGCGCTCTGCTGAGAAGGTGATTGGCTGCAGACTCCCATCTCTGCAGGACCTGTACACCTCCAGGACACTGGGGCGTGCAGCTCGGATCACAGCTGACCCTTCTCACCCTGGACACAGTCTGTTTGACCTGCTCCCCTCAGACAGGAGGCTCCGGTCCATTCGCACCAGGACCTCTCGCCATAAGAACAGTTTCTTCCCCTCTGCTGTTGGACTCATGAACAATAACCATATGACTGTTGCCACCACTAACACATGACCCTACACTGTGTTCACTGGATCATTCCATGTTGGCACTGATCACCACCTGTACTCATGTATATATCTATCTACTTAGCACTTTTAATTCTTATTTTTATGTTTATTTAAGCGTTATCTGACAGTATGTTTTGCACTAAGTACCGCAGCAATTTCCTAATGTTGTAAACCTGCTCAACATTTGGCAATAAAACCATTTCTGATTCTGATTCTGATTAAACTCTCCCTCCTTTTAATCCCATCCACAGCACAGCAACTGCAGCTGGAATATGAATCCGATCTGACCACTGCCACATCCTGAATTATTCCTGGGAGAGGAAATCCAACACAGAGAGATCTGTCACAGCAGGGAAGGCAGAAGATAAATGTGAGTGTCTGAGACACAGGCGTCAGCGTGCCATGTAGAAGGAACGAGCTTCAATCTGACAGTCAACTCAGAGCTGACATCACGCTCCAGAGAGGGAGAAGTGAGTAAGCCTTCAAACCAGAAAGTGGAAAGAGCTAAATTACCAGGTTTATTCCATGTTCTGTACTCTCACAAAAAAGTCACTCATGCCCAAAGTTGCTGAAAGCTAAAATAAAATCTGTGGGCTTTTATTTTTAGCAGCTGGAGAGATTCAGGAGGCTTTACCTGAAACACGCTCTCTTTCTTGTCTTGTTAGCAGTCTGCCTTTCATCCTCCTGTCATCTTTGATCCCTCGTTTCTCTATTTCCTACCTCCTGGAGTCTGTCGCCCCCTTCTAATCCCCCCTCTCTGCCTCACTACTTAAAAAGCCATGGGGCAGGATGACCACAATCATCCCTGCCATGAAATGCAGGCATGTACTCCTCCTGAATAAACAACGTCAGATGACAAAGAGCACCTCGATAAGCATCACGCGCATCAAAGGCACAGCACTAACTAACTAACAAAACTGACCCATGGGATAAAGCAATAAGGGCTCAAAGTGAAAAACCAAATGTCGAGGGAACGCAAAGTAGACATAGGAAAAAAGGAAGACAGGAAGAGGAAAGAGGAGAGGCAAACGGGGACAGTAAAAGAGACTGACCGCTGGCCAGGAGAGAGATGTCAACAGCTGAACATGCCTCCTGACCACTGACACAGAGCAGAGAGATTTCTCAGAGCTATTTTAATAGAGCTCCTTATTTTAGACTAAATGTCCCCCAGAACACTTACAGGCTCATTTTGTCTATTTGTCTGTCAATCATCCCACAAAGTCTCTTTTTCAAGAGATCTGGCAGGCGATTTTGAAGAATGTGTCATGTGGCTGCCTCATAACTAACATACATTTGGAGCTGGTCCCATTGTCACCGCATGCCTTTTGACATTCAGCAACTGGAAAAATAGCAGCAACTGAATCAAAACTTTCTATCTGCACCCCCTGCGCATTACAGTGACATCATCTAAGCTGACACCATTATTTTAAAACATTGTTACGACCCTGTTAAGAAAATGGGAGCTGTATAATTCCTGGAATATTAAACAAAGCATTACGGTGTGGCTTAGCCTCTCAGGAAATTAAAAAATATAAACGCTTTGAGCGTGCATCTGTGTGCACCCTTGTGCCCGCCGATACTTTATTGTTGCTAAGGTGAGTAAAGCAGTAAAATTAAATTAACCGTGATAATTATTTGTGGACAAGCACGTCATGGTTATAAAAAGCAGCAGCAGCAGCACAGTGACAGTGATAAGCCACCACCCTAATTGAGTTACAAAGATAAACAATCTGTTGGGATTTTGTAATAAACGGCATCCACTTTAAACATCTGTTGACTTCTCGTCTACCTTGCGCCCCAGCTGTGAGACGTGCAGGAGAAAGTCGGCGGCTTAAGACAACGGAAAGGAGAAGAGACTCAGAAAACCAGGACAGCTGGTCAAGAGCTAGACTAATAATCAGCATCTGCGCGAAAAAGAAGAAAAAAAGGAAATCCAGCCTATAATCTGTTGAGCATTTGCAAACTGATCTGAATTCGCATCATTTCAAACTCATGACCCCATGTCACTTCATATATCAGCACGAAACATTAGGAGAGCAGCTGGTGTGCATGAGCAGACAGTGTAAAACCATCTGTATTTCACTGCATGACATTAGGATCCATCAGATGGTGTCAGGACAGGTGACTGGGTCCCTTTGTCTCTGGTGTCCTTTGGTCCTAAATGGTGACTTTGCATACACACAATAACAAACAGCACAGCACTGAGGCAGTAGACAGTAATCTGGAACCTGCATCATCATATCTACAGGATTAATATTGATACAGTTAAAAGTAATAAAGTACAAGCAAATAAAAATACACAGACACAGTAGCAGACACACGCACACAAATACATCCAATCAAACCCTTAACAAGTCTTGCACAAAATGTATTATATATAAACGAATGAAACACAGATTAGGCCCAGTTCCCATAAACTACTAACCTGCTCGACTGTCTCATGAAAAAGTAAGTCTTATGAATCCATTCTCCAGTTTAAATAATTAAAATCAGCGTATTTTTGTAGGTCACAGCAGGAATCTCTGCTTAAATTTCTGCACTTTCCTTAATCACAGTAAACAAAATCCTCTTTCTGGGCAAAGCAAGAGCTCTCTGGCTACGGCTTTAATGGAATAATATGCACAATCACATGCCGCACAGTTTGAGCTAACACCGTAGAAAGATGGTAAGGCTGTTACTCGGTAGAAAATAAAAACCTAGACAAGCTGAAAGTGATGCTGCAGCTGCAGGCGAACTAAAGCAAAAAGCTGTAGTCAGTCAATATAGAGCGAAGCGTGTTTTTACCTCACAACAAGCAGCTTCAGTCTTTCCCTCTGCCTCTGAGCAGCGCTGTGTGTAGAGTGTCATACACTACCTCCCTCTCCCTCACCAACTAAGTTTGCCCCCCTCCCTCCCTCCCTCTCTTGCATACACTTGCAGAGTGCCAGCAGCACATGCAACATAGCGTTTCACCTCCCGATTTGCCTGCGCCTTACGCACAGAAGGCAGCGACGCACATCAGCCATGCAAGCACTTTCCCTCGCTCGCGTACATCAATACGCCACATGCAGACAGTGGGTGTACAGTGACCTCTCCGGTGCCCCGAGGGAGAGTGATGACAAGAGGCAGGAGGACAAATAGCAGCGGGGACATACACTTGATGAGATGGGAAAAGACAAGACGATGCGCAAAGGATACAAAATAGGGAGAAAAAAAAACATACTATAACTGTAGTGGTGACTGCCATATCACACTGATGAAAGGATCAAACATTTGAAAAGGAGATAAGAAAAAAATGACACAGAGAAGGTGGGAGATGCTTTAACTGTGACGGCAAAACATCAGAAAAAGGAGAAATCTAACAGAGATTAAAGGTTAGAAGAGATGATGACAGTGAGACGCAAGAAATGAAAGAAGTGAAAAAGAAGGTGGTGTTATAACATGTTTTATAGCAAGAAGACAAACAGCAGAAACCTACGAGGGCTGGGGGGTATTGGTATATGAAGCACACCAGTCTGAAGCCTTGACCCAGAGTTCCTTTTTATTTATGAATAGCCCCAAATGGGACTGATCACACGCACTCTCACACAGACAAAAACTGCCTCCCCAGCTGCCTCTCACTTATTTGCGTCCCCTGTGATCACTCACTCGCAGGCATCTGCGGCACTCGCGTTATTTTCTATATTTACCCGCTCAGACTTCTCCTATCCAGACTGATCATCATCCTGCGTGACGATATCCACTCACCGTGGCACCCGCTCTCCTGCAGCCTCCGAGAATTGTTTTTGGCTGTTGCCCCGGTGACCGGGGGAGGGGGGATGCATATGACAAAAATAATAATCCTCTTTTAATACGCGCAACTAAGTCACAACAGCTGGTAGAGGCGTGTCATACACCATTAGAGTGTGCGAGTTACCTTGGTGAAGAGAAGAGCAGAGAAATATATATGACGGGTCCTTCTGTGTGGCGCTGAGAGGGCAGGTGCGCTGCTTTTGAGTGCATGTATACGACTTGTGCTGCTGGATACTGAGTGAGACAAAACAGTCCCGCTCCAGCAAGGTCATGAACTCACTCAGTAGCGTGTGACACTGAGGTGATGTGAGTGGGGTCACATGAGAGTAGAAGCTGCTGCTGCCAATGGCTCGACATGAGCTGTGGATGGAGAGAGTGCTTCTCTCACACAGTTTAAATGAAACAGGCCACTCTTTGGGGGACTGTATAAGCAAAGGTCGGGACATCTTACTCAAAGTGTATAAGCAGCTTTTTTAAAACCAGGACTTACTAATGCACATATGCTGCTGTGGTGAAGCTCAGCTGAGCTTAAAGTGTTTACTGGGCAATTTCCTTTCTAATCACCGACAGACAAATGCAGATTGTCTTACGGCAGAGCATGTGGTTTGAAGCTGTGAGCACTAGCTTCACTGAACTTTGTGAGTGCGTTTGTTCAGAGAGCACTACAAAGTGACTGCTTGCAAACAAGGGCCTTCCAGTTTTCCAGTTGAGAATCAACAACTTATCTGTAGACGGACACACAGACGGCATTTGTTTGCAACGTGCATTATCCCCTGAGCTGTGCTGCTTCTCGTTTAGGCTCCTCCTCACTGATCCTCACTGTGCATTCAGACCACTGACAGCTCACAGATCCCTGTTGCCCCTAATTGATCACCCCGAGAGCTATTTTCACAGTGCTAACGATGAGTAATGATGTATCATATATACAGTCATGACCTCTAAAGCCACAGACTTTATTAAGAGTCACTTTGAAAAACAATGGAGACTTTCCGGGTGCTTGAGAGCTCACCCTCTCATCCATGTTACTGCATGGATGAGTGCAGTTCTGGAGGCAGGCCTTCTTTAACCAGACATCTAGGTCAATGCACATGGCTTATTCCACTTAAGACTAACATCACATTAACGTCGGTACCCGACAAACCTTTGAGAAAGGTGCACAGTTTGCTCTGGGCAGGAGGAGGTAAGGTATGCAGGTAGAAAATGTATAGCTCACCTTGGCTTCACATGTCTTGTGAACTGTAACCTTGCACTCTGTAAGCAAAAAGAAGCAATAATTTACTCCGAGAGTCAGCGAGCTGCTCTGACGTGCATCTAGATCTGCTACCACCCTGAGATGTGGACTCACCCTTGCAGAAAGCCGCAGGGGTGTCAATGTTGTGCTTGCACACCTCACACATTCGTCTCCTCTTTAGTGTTTTCAGTGTGAAGGCATGGTTCCCTGACTTGGAGAGCTGCGGATACACAGGACAATCAAAACTGATCACCACACACGAGACATAGAAATGTTACAAAGGACGAAATAAAGGCTCCTCCTCAGTGGAAATCATTCATTTAGTGAGGCAGTAACTGTGTGCATGAAAGCAGCTTGAAACCATCGATCCCCTCGTGATAACATGAATAGTAGATTGTGGGCCTGCTTAGGTTTACCAAGTTTCTCAATTTCAGTTTAGCATTCTTCCATCTGAAGCACTAGATGTTC